GAATTTACCTAAGAGGTATGAAAAGCATATGTCCATACAAAAATGTGTACATGAATGTTCATAGCAGCTTTATTTATAAGACCTCCCAAGTGAAAACAACCCAAATGCCTGCCAGCAGGTGCATGAATAAACAAACTGTGGTACGTCCATACACTGGAATTTCTATACAGCAATAAAATAAAATAAACTACTGATACATGCTACATTAATGAATCTCAAAATAATTATGGTGAATAAAAGAAGCCATTTGGACTATAGTATGTACTGTATAATTCCATTTATGTAAAATTTTAGAAAATGTAGTTAAATCCATAATGATAAAAAGATCAGTGGTTGCCAGGGGGCAGGGCTGGCAGAGCAGAAGGGAAGGATTACAAAGGGCACAACAAAACTTTTGGGATGAGGGGTATGTTTGTTTTCACAGGTGTATGCATATATAAAAATTCACAAATTTATGAATCCAGTCTATTGTATGTCATCTATACCTCAATACAGCTGTTTTAAAAAAAAAGGGTCCAGTACCAATGTATTTTATTTCTTTTTTTTTTTAAGATTTTATTTATTTATTTCACAGCAAGAGAGATCACAAGTAGGCAGAGAAGCAGGCAGAGAGAGAGGGGGAAGCAGGCTCCCCACTGAGCAGAGAGCCCGATGCGGGGCTTGATCCCAGGACCCTGAGATCATGACCTGAGCCGAAGGCAGAGGCTTAACCCACTGAGCCACCCAGGTGCCCCTGTATTTTATTTCTTTTGTGAATTCTTTTAAAAATTCTGTATTACAGGTACCCCCACGACATGTGGAAATTGAGCCCAAAATGATTAAAAAGAAATTACAGTTTGGTATCTCAATGTGGTTTTGATTTGAATTTCCCTGATGGCTAATGATGATGAACATTATTTCATGTGTCTGTTAGCCATTTGTATGTCTTCTTTGGAGAAGTGACTGTTCATACCTTCTGACCATTTTTTGACATGATAATCTGTTTTTGGGTGTTGAGTTTCAGACGTTCTTTATAGATCTCGAGAAAAAGTTTTTTTTTTTCAGTTTGTTTACCAATTTAATAACTTATTTCAGGTCTTTTGTATGTATGAATAATCCATGCTTTAAAGAAAATCTAAATCTAAAGTAGATCTTTAAAACTATCACATAAAAACCCTAAAAGGTCAGGAAGTTTTGTGTCAGCATTTCTTAATTTCAGTGGCAGCTTTTTTTTCTTCCACAGTGGTGCATAAAATAATAGCCCATCTTTCAATCGGTGAGGTCTTAGATTCACGGAAATGCAGTACGGAATCACCTCCACCACCGCTGCCCATAGTCCAAGCCATCATCGTCCCAGGGCTGGCTCACCATAACAGCCTCCGAGTCAGGAGACCAACTGACTGAGACCAACTATAGTCTATTCTCAACACAGTACATAGAGTAATCCTTCTGAAAATAAATCAAGTCATTCCTCTGCTCAAAATCTTCCCGTGACTTCTCATCTCATTCTGATTAAAAGCCAAAATCCTTACAAAATCCTACAATATCTTTGCCATTCTTCATCCCACCTTGCAACCAATCCTGCCTTCATCATTTCCTGTAGGCTTCTTTAAACTGACTTTAAGCCACATGAGCTTCTTTACACTTCAGGAAATATGTTGAGATTTGCGTTTACCAAGGGCCTTTGTATTTGCCTCTATGACTGGAATTCTCTTTCCTTTGACTTTTGCGTGGTGACCTTGGCTCCAGTTCAGATGCCATCTTAGCAGTCAGTGAGTCCTTGTTTTTTACCAATCTATGTAGTATTGCAACTCCTTGTAACACTGTTGCTGGCAGCCCAGCCTTACCTCCTATTCTTCTTCCCTGCTTTACTTTTTTCCCAAGACTTCTCTCACCATATGGAAACACATTTTATTTAGTTTTTTTGTTTGGTCTATTTTTTTTTTTTTTTTGTCTGTCTGTCCCTGAGGAGTTTTGAGATATTCAGGTGATTTCAAAACATACAAATTCATATGAGAGTTTCGCAAAGCTGGAGACATTAAATTGATAGCAAATAGACTGGCTCTAGTTCTAAGTATATTGCATATACTTGGAAAATATGTAATGGGGTGCAAGCCAGTACAATTTGCAAGAGAGTGAGCCTTTAATTTCAAGAATCAAAAGTTAATGTTAGTTAAATTTATTCTCTTTTGTTGCTGTTGGGCTGGGGAAGTTGAAAGGAAGTGACCAGGAAAGATGGAAAGATTGAACGCTATCAGTGGACAGCCTTTTCCTTTAAAAGGGGGGGGGTGTGCTTTGATCTAGCTCTCTTTCTTGTCTGTATTTGTATTAGGCAATTACACTATCTTTTGGTACAAAGATGGTTTCTTTTTTATTTGCCAGCAAATGGCAGCCATTGGATAAGTTCCTTCTACTTTTCTTTTTCCTTCTGGCACTTCCCACCATGGTCTTTCTCCACTCTTCTGTTTTCTCTTTGTTTCCCCAAGGCTTGATAACATTAAAAAAAAAAAGAAATCTTGGATGTAAGTTCAGAAGAAAATGAGTTCAATGTGGGGAATCTTAGTACTAGGGGTTCATAAAGAGCACGTGGTTGGCTCACAGTGTCTTTTGGCAGAGTAGAGGGGAGAGAGCTGGCATAGGTCCACCGGGCCTTCATGGGTGGAGCACTGCTCACCTGGCCAGCACCCTGGGCCCCGCAGAGTGGTCTACTCTTCCCTGCTTGGGGGTCACCTCGCAGTCTGTAAATGTAGAGCAGAAGATTCTTCTGGGGTGGAGAAAACATAAGCGAGGCACTTTATTCAGCATCTGCTATAGATTGTGGTGAGGTGTGTGTGTGTATGTTGGGCTTTATTGAGATAAATCATTTTGTCACAAGGCATCATCAGCACTAAGGTAAATGAATGAATTGCACTTTGTCCTTATGGATAATCATCAGGTTGTGCATTATATAATTTACCTACTCTCTTAGAGCACTTTTTATTGAAACATCTATTTGCAGATCTGGGGATGACTTATGGCTCTTCATTTGCTTTGGTTTGTTCTTTCAGAGCTTCTCCACATTATTTCAGCAATTGAGTCCCCAGAGGTCCCTGATGACTGCTCCCCCCATACCTATCCTGGTAGAGTGTTCAGGGAGAGAGCATGAGTGGGAATGGAGGGAGGGTCCCTTACCCCTAAGCCCACTATACAGCAGTTACGGCACAAAAGGAAGACATCCCCTTTATCTGTGCCTAGCAGAAATTCCTAGATTCCTAGATAATGAACATTGATTCACTTACATGACATAAATAATTAGCAAGATTTGAGCTCTTCTAGGATTTCTTAAAGTGTTCTACAAGCATGACTTCTGAAATGTAACTCCCCCCTCCCCTCCCCAATATGCCACCATGACTTCAGAGATTTACAAAAGAAAAGAATCATGCCTCTATCCTCTGGTTTTCATCTTCCAAATTCTTTAATTTGTCATCGTAGAGAAGAAGCTACCAACACATGAAAGAAAAAAAAATCTCACCTGAATGTACTATATCAATGTCTAACTTAGCTCATCTTTCATTTTCTCTGCCAGAGTCTTTTTTTCCCCAGATTCACATTTTTCACTGCCGGCAGGGGTGTTAGCATGTCGAGTTCCCTAAGCTGGTACCTCCAATGTTTCTTGTGTTTAAAAGTCCCTAGTCTTCCTTGCAATCACCTCTTCTTCACCCCTAGAGCCTAGTCCTTTGGGCAAACTGCCTTTTCCTGACTTCTGGGAATAGTTCTTTCATATCCATGGCCTTTTTTTCTTGACCTACAAGTCCACTGAAAGCCAAACACCCTGCCAAGCATCAGTTGTTTTTTTCCCAGCTAGTCAACAAATAGAAGAACAAAACCATATTCAGTAAAAGATACTCATTCTCAGTTCCCAAGCCAGGGGAGACGTGTGCAAAGATAATCAAAGATCTATTGAAGGATTCTGCATAACGGCAAAATCTGGAGACAGTCTACCAAGCAAAGTCAAATTATTCTAAAAAACGTATGTCTTTGATTACAAGAGTTGCCTTATTTCTATCTTTTTTCTGATGTAGCACCTAGGGCAGTGATTGTGACGGAAGACAGTGTTTTGTAAAATGATCTGGGTCATTGCGTGACTGCATGGCTGTTTTAGGTATCACTAGACACGTGCCATCTACCCCAGCAAGACCCAGCTGGGCAGACATTTGTGGTACCTTGTTTTGATCCATCTAATTGCTTTAAAATGGCCCATCAAGGAAATAATCAGCAGGGTTGTGGGACAGTCCAAGCAACGAGGAAGTGCTTAGGCTCTGGAATCAGACTCTGGGCTTGAATCTTGGGCCTACCATTTTAGAGTTGCACGACTGCACAAGTCACATAATCTGTCTCGGCTTCAGTTATCTTATTCAAAACACAAGGATAAACAACGCCTGGCTAGAAGGTTGTCATCAGGATATAAGACGATGGTGTGACATTCCCAACACATACTGTCTAGTAAGCATGACTTTACTGTGCTAGTATAGAGAGATGAAGAAGTAAGAGTCAGTAAATGGCTTCCTATAATCACTGTCCGATATTAATTCTGAAAGAACCTATGATCAGCACCAATCAGAGGTCATTTTGTAAATGAAGACAGCATGATATCATGGTGGTAGGAGTGAATTTGTTTAGATTTACTCGCTCTCCCTGCTATATCCCCCTGCTATATACTACATCACGTTATGTATCAGGCAGAGGCTTGGGGTCAGTCTGTCCTCATGTTGGGCATGTCTGTGTTTGTAAATAGAGAGTATTTTGATCCACGTGTAATTCAATCCTGCTGTAGCGCAAGAAAAAGCTGTCCTCTGGGTTACCTGACTTGCTCTACCTAAACTAATGCACAAAGCAGGAACATGGTGCTTTCTACATTATGTTCAGATTTGTCTTCGTTTTGGTAGTGGACTTATTCCTAGCTTGAGGGGAGCCAGCATAAGACCAGAAGAGATTAATTAGCCCGCCAACCCCCAGATTGCCCCATCTCTGTGGCATCTTACCTTTGGTTGCGGAGAGCTGGGATTTATACTGCCCTCGGACCAGCCGGCAGGTGGACCCATCCCCGTTGCAGACTCCACAGTTATCCTCCTTGATGGTGCTTCCCAGCTGGTGATCGCAGCCAACAATCTAACAGGAGAGAGATGTGTGATTCAACCAGGTGCCTACTGTAGGGATCCATCGTGAGGCCCATCACCATTCAGGGACCTTCCCTTCACTTTTGAGGAAGGCTAAAACATGCTTCCCATAGAGGGGAACCAATTCAGCTGGAATTTCAATCAAGCTAAGGAAGAAGAAAAACAGCATAGACAAAGATGCTTTTACAGTTCAAATATATAAACAGAAAGAGGGGCGTGGAAGAGGCAGAGACAGAGGATGGGGGCAGGCAGGGGAAAAGGGAGAGAGGAAGATCTTGACCTATTGATATTATTGAGCCTTAATTAAAAAATCATTCCCAGTGTAATAATTATGATTCACTAAAATTACAAAAATACAATTATGGGAGAAAAGATTTCATGGATTATTTTCACGTTCCATATTGTTCCTTAGACTAGAAGCTGTGTAAGGGTAGGGGTGTGGTGTGTTAGGTCCATTCATGTACTCTGAGCAACCACTATGGTGCTAGGCAAATTGTAGCCCTCAATAGGAATTTGGTGAATGATAACAGGTGAAAGAGTTCTACCACTGAGCCACCAAGGCTGCTGAATTATAATGAAAATGGTTCCTTTTCTAGCTAGCACTTCAACTAAGAAAAGAGAAACAATCACAGAATCAGCCACCAGAAGCAAGATTACTGGATGTGTGTGCAGTGGGAGAGGAGCGTTGACGTGGAGGGTGGCAGAGAGAACCAATACTGAGGCCCTCTCTGCCTGGCTATGTCCTACGAGGCACAATACAAGTATCTCATTAATTCTGAGAACGATCATGTAAGATATCTCCATTTATAGCTGAGGCCACAAATCTGGCCAAGGTCACTTTGGTAATAAGCAGCTGAGTTCTAAGCACATCTGACATAACATTTATGCTTAGTCCAAAGCAGGCTTAACGAAATCACAAGCACTTATCATGTATGTGGGCAAATTCAGCTGTACTTTTACTCTTTCCTTTCCAATGCTCAAGTTCAAAAATATTCAAAGCCAAACTGCATCAAGTTGTACTTCTATAGTTCCAGTTAGATCTAGTACCAAAAGACCTATTCCACTTCCAAATGACTTCAACAACTGTCTTCGATTAAGAAATAAAATGAGAACTGTAGTGACATTTGAAGGGGCTTCTTTCCAGAAAGTCCCCACAATCCGTTGTCTTTCAAAAATCCAGTTGTTAATATGACCTTTCTTTGAGGCTTGATTTTCTTCTTTGTACTTTTAATTATTAATTGCAAACACATGTTTAGCCAAAGGTTTGAAAAATACCACTATTTAGAATTGTGTTATATATGTGCTTTATTTTTAAATGTGGTAATGTGCATTTTTTATACACAGGCATACAGGCATCTTTAAAAATAAATGACAAAGCAGTAATTCTTTCAATGATTGGGCATTTTTTGAAATACAAAGATGTCAAGAAAACATAATGCCCAGCCCTTAAATGGGGAGCAAAGGAGGGCTGGTTCCGTCCAGAGGGGGGTCATTGTGGTCAAACTGCAATTCACGTCAATATGTTCCCAGGCTGCAGTGAAGCCTCTTCAGAATTAACCCAGGCTCCATCCATACACACCCAACACATGCTGGCTTTAGACTTCAGTAATGTGTTTCTATGGAGCTGGAGTAAACTTATTATCAAAATTTTTATCTGTAGATGAACCCACATAGGAGCTAAGTAATTCCATATTCACTTGTATTCTGAACACAGTGTGAAATGGGAGCTCAGAAGTAACTTATTTACCACCACCACCAAAAAAGTCACTTAATCATTTATCCAACAACGACCAAGATCTGCTATGGGTCAGGCACTGTGTTAGGAGCAAAATCCAAAGGGTTTAAGCACATATGGTCCTACCCTTCTGGGACTTAGAGTCTAGTAGCAGAGACACGTATTATTTAAATCATCACACACAATCAATGTAAAATGATAATCATGATACAAACTATAAAACGCAGATCCATGATACTCTGAGAACATAAATTATGGAGAATTTGATTTCTGGCTAGAGAGGCCAGAGAAAGCTTTCCTGAAGAAGAGTCTTTGGAGCTGAGATATCAAAGAGGTTCCAGAGTTAGCTAGACAAAAGGGACGTGTTGCTGTGAGTTGTACTGCACATTTTTGTCATGTGTAGATACCTACCAGCTAATTAGAAGGTAATCCAAAACCAAATTTGGCAAAAAACAAAAAGGAAAACAAAAAAATGTCAGAAGAATGAACCATAGGGTTGCCTTAGTAGGGTCGAATCCTTTGGGAAAACAAAACAAAACATTGCAACCCTAATTTTGGCTGTATTCAAAGAACCATCGACTCAGGTGTTGTTCTTTGGGGTTGGAAAGAAATGATCTTAATCTTACAAGATACTCAGCACTATAGAGGGGGATAGGCAGGGAGCATGGAAATTTACTCTCAGGTGTCTCAAATATAACTATGCTTATTCCTTAAATTAAAGAAATTTCAGGTTTCTCAAAAGATTTAACTTGCTCTGGAGAATTTTTAATGGTCTCTGATGTCTCTGAAGAAGCCAAATAGGAGATTACCATGAAAATCTCTCTCTAAGCCTAAAGATTTCTTATGGCTCCAAAGCCATTTTAAGAAAAGAAAAATCCAACTTCACAGATCCAAAGTAACAATCTATTAGGAGCAGCTAAATAGAAGATGACATACTTTAAGGCTAACTTGACCAGACCACCAACTTAGAGCTCTTGATGTAAGTTTATGGACCTCAGGATATGAACCAAGTGAGTTCTAACCGGGCTTTGTTTAACTTTGGAATTGAAAAGACAAACATCTCCCTGACACACTTTTTCTCCCTTTGTATCAATTCCTTCTTAAGGTGCCAAAATATCCTTACTCAATTATTTTTAAAACATTGGAAGACTTTATCATCAGATAAAATGTTCTTATTTTGGTCCCAGTAGAAAACTGTTTGCAGTTATATCAAGAAAATCATTATTGACGTATCTCAGTCTGTCTCAATGTGTTGGTCTGGAATAACAGAGTAATTAAAAATTAGTTAAACTGTGACTTTGAGAGCTATTATTAATAACGAAGAAAAAACAGAAATAAAGAAATGGGTTTATTTGGCAGTTATAATGATAGATCTCTCTGCGCCTTTGCACATACCACTATTTCTGCCTAACGTGCTCTTCCCCAATTCTTTATTTGGCAAACTCCTACTCATCCTTCAAATCCCAAATTAAGTGTCTGCTCCTCAACCAAGACTTTTTTAGTTTCCAGAGTGAATGGCCTTATTACTTTATGCTTCTTCAGGCATTTCTTCATGAGTCTATGTGGCAGAGATTACTGGTTGCTACCCAACATCCATCTTCCCTATTTTTTTCAAGAACAGAACTCCAGTTTTATTTGGGGTGGCAATATGTCCAGTTAAAAAGAACACATTTTTTTCACTGGCTTTGTGACCATTTGCAATTCATGAAATAAAAGTGGAAGGGTTCTGTGGGACTTCTGGGAAGACTACTTAAAAGAAGTTGACTTAGATGACCCCACCTGCCCCCTACTCTTCTTCCTTCCTGTTGGCTCCAGTGCCAAAATGAAAAATGAGACAATCCTGAGAACAGAAGCCTTGCAGTAAAGAGGACAGAACAGAAAAAAAGAGCCAGGTCTTTCACTTCACTTAGACTGATTGCATCTTGTCTTCTTTTTTTGAGAGAGAGTAAATCCTTTATGTGCTTATGCTATTATTAGTTTGGGGTTTCTTTTATATACACCCAATTCAAATAGTTGTATAACTTATACTGTGTTTAATCTATTGCTATATCTGTCTCTGTATCAGCTCATGGGCTATTTGAGAGCCCATGCTTCATTAGTCTTTGTATTTCTGTTGTTTGGCACAGTGTTTAACATTTGATGTGTGCAGCGAATGCTGGTGAATCAATGAAACACACAGCAAACAAAATGGTTTGTTAATGAAGCCACTGTAGGTGACAGGTAAGCAGCCTTAGACTGCAGTCATTGATGACACACATGTAGACAAAAATGTGCATATATGTGCATACGTGCGCTTATTTGTTTCTGTGTACACAGAGGAACAGACATATAAATGATGACTACATATCAAACCAAAACCTCTGTCCTGATGCACGAATAAGAATTACAATAAAGGGCTAGTATTTTTAAGAGATTATTTCCCAAGTGCACCTATGCTCATTATTAGTGAAATGTCATAGAAGGCAATGTTCAGGTCACCGAGTTCCCAGACCCACCCCATTCTGGACAAAACATTAAAGTGAGATAATGACCACTCATAACTTTGGCAACCACATGGAATTTCTTTGTAAGGGGTGGAAAACTAGCTGAGTATTTTGACCTAATGTATTTTATTCGTATTCTGCTACTAGTTGTCAATTTGATACAGTGGTGGGACCTCCTCTGTATCCCTAGTAGTATTTTTTTTTTTTTTAAATAAAATTTTTATCTCAGGTGATATAAAAAGTGAAAAGCTCCAAGATGTTTTCCTTGTTTAAACACCATTAGTGGGTCGTCAACTTCTGCCTTGCTATCTTGATTGTAGGCTTTTTGCATATATATACACGTATGTATAAATACAGACAAACAGTCCTTCATCCTATTTTTGAGTAGAACATTTTTCTTCATTCTTCATTCTCCTTCAGGATTTACTAATGGAAGGGGGGAGAACCCTCCCTAAACAAAAACTAGGATGATAATATCCAGTTATCATTAGCTTATAGATTTCAAGCATGCCATGCGGATTTTAGGCATTAGGGCTATTCTGCGTGCTGATAGAAGTCTCTCCCTTAGTCTTGCAGAGCTGATAGTAAGTGAACAGGCAGAACACAAGACTGAAATTCTCTAGACACTGAAATATGTATAATAAAATGTCTTCACTACGAGCCACAGGAAAAAGAAAGATTATTATCTGAATAATTTGGAGAATGTAAATAAACACAACCCACAAGCTGACACCATGCCCCAAACTGACGTGCTTAGATGGGTTCACACTGGCT